CTACGTCTGTGTGAAGTCTTATTTTTTTCATGTACTTTCGCTACTGAAATACAACAGATTGAGTGCAGAAACATCTATGAGAATTCAGCTGTCTTTTGATAAGCCAGACATTAAAGAAATTGGCAAAAAGTGTAAAACGGTGCCACTCTTCTCACTATTTTTTTTAAATAAATTTTTTAAAAATAAAAAAATGTGGTATACATTAACATGTAAAGGATTTGTCATTGTCTTTTTAAATTAATGAATAAATATTTTTAAAATTTCTTGGTTTTAATTTCTGAGAGAGTGAATATTGATAGATATAACCTAAACAGCTCTTTGAGGGTCTTCAGTAATTTTGAAGAGGGCAAAAGGGTCTTGAGAACTGCTGTCATGTGGCGTCAAACAGGATGGAATGCATTTTTTTTATAACGGCATCATCCCCAAAGTAGCAGAGACTGTTTTTTTTTCAAGGACCATTTGTAATGTTTGCTCACAAAGGAGTCTTTTTAAGATTAGGAGTTTTTTTCCATTAAGTTTTCCATATTTTAGTCAAGAATGTAACTAGGTTGATTAGTTTTTCATCTGTTTTAGATTTTCTTTTCCCCACTGTCAGTAAAGTCCATGCTAAAGTGATTCATGTGATAGCAGCAGTAGAGTGTGGCATCATCAGAGATGTTTTAATATTACATAAAAAGAATTATGCTATATTCACAAACATATGACTAAGTACTAATTTGTTACTGAAGAAGAGTTTTATTGTTAAGATCTTTGTCTTATTTAGACCTTGTTGTTTAAGTACTTTATTATAGCTTGCAGAATGTTCTTCAATACAGAGAAGTTTATTGAAAACATATTGTTGGTTTGAAGCCAGTAATTTTTAAGGTGGATTCAATTCAAAATGCAGATTTTTAAAAAGAGTTTTGGTATCAAAAGCTGTTGCTTTATATTGTATGTTGTTCTTAGCTGCCGTCGAGGTGGCTCCCTACTCATGGCGACTCCATGCACAATGGGATCGGACTGTTGTGATCCGTAGGGTTTTCATTGGCTGATTTTCAGAGGTAGATTGCCAGGCCTTTCTTCCTAGTCCACCTGAATCTGGAAGCTTCACTGAAACCAGTTCAGAATCACAACAACATGCAAGCCTCCACTAACATATAGGTGGTGACTGTGCATGAGGTGCATTGACTGGGACTTGAACCCAGGTCTCCCACATGGAAGATGAGAATTCTACCACTGAACCACCACTGCCCTCTTATATCGTATACATCAGGACTAAAAAGTATGGCAAACAAATATGTTAGAGAAAAATATGTAGGACAAGATTGAAATCTTTGGAGCATATGTATGCTCTTAGCAAGTTTTCATCAGTGTCTGACTCTACCTGGAAATGGAAGTTACTTGTTCATTTGGAAATGATGGCAATTTATACAGAGAGAGGGTTCTCAAATGGAGGGAGGGTTGTGTAAAGGAGTTTTTAAATAAATACAATTGCTATGAAACCGATCAACAAAGGGTTACCAGTTAGCAGCGGGCTTTAGAGAAGCCTTGCTCTAAATAGGTAAGAATAATTTGTAATCATTTCATGAATTGTTTGTATATTTTTTTCTCAAATAG